CAGATAAACAGAGAAAATGGTCCCTGTGCAGGACTGCCTTGGTTGAATACCACATTGGGGCTCTGCAAGCCTCTCCTCAGCATACCTAGCAAGGAAATGTTGAATAATCCTATCCAGTTCCTTCCCCGGCAAGAGATACACACCCGTATTCACACCATCTTCCAATCCTCCCATCACACACATACAAACTGTCCAAGCAAACTCCGTGGATTAAAATCTCCCATCAGACCGATTCATTTCGGTACTCAGCAAGGATATGCACCTCATCATTCCCTGTTCAGTGCTGACATGCCACCTTTGGGCACTTTGTTACAACATTTCCACTTATCTTATCACTGTTGTGCTGATGACATGCAAATTTGCATTCTGTTAGGCTCTTGACTTTGCTGCAGGAAAAATGTTCTTTTACTAAATGCCGACAAAACTGAGGCCATATTCATCGGCTCCCCCTCCCTCTACAGCTCACTACAATTGGTTCGCCAGGTTTGTCAATGGATTGTCACGATGTCTGCCCATCGCAGGAGATCAGATTTGTTGGTGTTCACTATGCCCAGTCCCTGTCCATTAATGCACGTGTATCTAGGCTGGCTAGAACTTTGCTATTCCACTCATGGCCCTGCTGTGTCGATTCCTATAACTTGATGACTGAGAGAGACCAGTCCATGCTTTTGTGTTCGCCCGGCTTGATTACTGAAACGCATTACGACTGTTCTGGATTCCGAGTGAGGCGCTGGGTTCGACTCCAGCTCGTTCAGAACACAGCTGCCAGAGTCCCTATGCGCACACCGTTTCGCGAGCAGCACATCACACACCTGCTCACTTGTGTCTCTGCATTGGCTTCCAGTCAAGTACCGAGTGGACTATTTGATACTGCTGCTGCTGACCTACATTGTGCTCAGCGGGTTAGCTCTGCAATATCTGCATGAACTGATTCCGTGTTGACTCGCCAACGAGGTCCCTGAGATCTTGCCTTCTGCTAAGGCCTCGGAACCCAAGGCTCTGTTGCTTGGGTGATCGGGCTCTTGGCACTGTGCAGTTTCCAGACTATGGAACGCGCTTCGCCTTTTGCTAATAAGACAATTAGAGTCGTTAGATGTGTAAGTCTTATTTGAAAAGTCACCTCTTTAATTTGTCCTTTACTCTCTAGCTCTGGCCGTTTACCCTGCTTCTGTTTATTTCCTGCTTTCCATACACGGTTATGCATTGGGATCTACGAATTAAATTTTCTTTCCAAGTGTAAATAATTATTATTAGCGAGCACCTATGAAGGCTGGCATGGCACACAAGCGGGTGAGTCCACCAAGAGTAGGCTCAGGATAATTGTCACTGGTGTGGGCTGTGAGCGCGAAAAAAACTCAGGATGCCGGGTTCGTAGCACAGGGCGCCATCTGCTGCTCTGTCGCTCCCCACTCATGCAAAGACACACACACACCATCAGAAAGCTAATTCAAAACATCTCTCGTCATGATTACGCATGGGGCTGCTCTGTTTATTTTATGTGTACATGCCCTTTGATACATTTTTGAATAACACTGTCTAGAAATGAATTGATTGATTGATTATTTGGTGATACTGCTGTGTTGGCAGTGGTAAACAAGCACAAATGGCACCAAAAAACATTTGCCAATGTCACTTTGTGGCCTTAAAAGAAAAAAACTAAAAAAGCAACAGTTTGGACAATGGCCATTCTCGATGAGCGCACAAATAGGAGAGGCCTGAGTGACGCCTGGATAAGCGTAGGAGACTCTTGTATTGATCGATTAGTTGTACTCTAGACATTGGCAGCCCTGAGCCTGTGATGGAAATTCCACATTTCCACGACGGAGGTAACCAGTCTTGGCACCGCGCTGCTGATTTCCCGCACACGGGGGCCAGTACTGTACGATGGGTCCTGAGAAGCGCGGCGGCAGCGGGAGTGTCGGCGGAGTCGTGTGTGAACATTCGCCTCGGCCGTAGCGTGAGCTGCCACGGGGAAGCGGTGACCGTACACAGGATGCGGTCGCCTTCCGGCCACCGCGTTAACCGCGGCCAAGGAAAACCTGGGAGCGGGCGAGTGGGCAGCCGGGCTGCTGGGCTATGCTGTTCTGGCCTCAAGCAAAACTCCAGACGGAGCACACTGCTGCTGTGCTGAAATTACGACAGTCCCTTTTCACCTGATGGTTAGTTCATAGGATATCATGGATGAATTTAGTTTATAGGATATAATGAATGAATTTAAGTGAGGTGCAGTCAATGATTCTGCCTCATGTTACTCAGCCCATCCATTCATTAACACGTTGAATAATTCACGAGCTTTTATGAATGAGAGGTTTGCCAGTGGTATGAGCCTGTCCATCCGGTACTTTGTCAGTAGGCTTGGTGGATCCCACTCATTTTCATGTGATGCATGGTGGAACGGAGGTGGTAGTAGAGAAAGTAGGTTGCTGACCTTTCCTTGCAGACTTGAGAGTGTTATCGTGTGTGTGGGTTTTCTCAGGGTACTCCGTTTCCTCCCACACACAAAACCCTCAATAAGGAAGTCCCCGAATTTCCTTGTGTAGGACCCTCCTGAAGACGTATTTTGGCCTGCGGAAGGCCTTCCTGCACACAGCGCCCTCATTTTTATTTTATTATTTTGCCTGTTTACCCAAAAAAGCCTCCCTAAGTCTCAAGACCCTTCTTCAGCAGAGTCCTGTCAAGTTTTCGCAGTAGGGGGCGCGATGTCGCTGCTGCTTCTGTGCGATCACAGTTGAGTAATTTTCAGGTAATTTTTCAGCATTGGGATGTTTTGGTCAAGTACCAGTTACAGTGAGGGAAACAAGTATTTGATCCCCTGCTGATTTTGTACGTTTGCCCACTGACAAAGAAATGATTAGTCTATAATTTTAATGGTAGGTTTATTTGAACAGTGAGAGACAGAATAACAACAACAAAATCCAGAAAAACGCATGTCAAAAATGTTATAAATTGATTTGCATTTTAATGAGGGAAATAAGTATTTGACCTCTCTGCAAAACATGACTTAGTACTTGGTGGCAAAACCCTTGTTGGCAATCACAGAGGTCAGACGTTTCTTGTAGTTGGCCACCAGGTTTGCACACATCTCAGGAGGGATTTTGTCCCACTCCTCTTTGCAGATCTTCTCCAAGTCATTAAGGTTTCGAGGCTGACGTTTGGCAACTCGAACCTTCAGCTTCCTCCACAGATTTTCTCTGGGATTAAGGTCTAGAGACTGGCTAGGCTTCTCCAGGACCTTAATGTGCTTCTTCTTGAGCCACTCCTTTGTTGACTTGGCCGTGTGTTTTGGGTCATTGTCATGCTGGAATACCCATCCACGACCCATTTTCAATGCCCTGGCTGAGGGAAGGAGGTTCTCACCCAAGATTTGACGGTACATGGCCCCGTCCATCGTCCCTTTGATGCGGTGAAGTTATCCTGCCCCCTTAGCAGAAAAACACCCCCAAGCATAATGTTTCCACCTCCATGTTTGACGGTGGGGATGGTGTTCTTGGGGTCATAGGCAGCATTCCTCCTCCTCCAAACATGGCGAGTTGAGTTGATGCCAAAGAGCTCCATTTTGGTCTCATCTGACCACAACACTTTCACCCAGTTGTCGTCTGAATCACTCAGATGTTCATTGGCTAACTTCAGACGGGCATGTATACGTGCTTTCTTGAGCAGGAAGACCTTGCGGGCGCTGCAGGATTTCAGTCCTTCACGGCGTAGTGTGTTACCAATTGTTTTCTTGGTGACTATGGTCCCAGCTGCCTTGAGATCATTGACAAGATCCTCCCGTGTAGTTCTGGGCTGATTCCTCACCGTTCTCATGATCATTGCAACTCCACGAAGTGAGATCTTGCATGGAGCCCCAGGCCGAGGGAGATTGACAGATCTTTTGTGTTTCTTCCATTTGCAAATAATCGCACCAACTGTTGTCACCTTCTCACCAAGCTGCTTGGCAATTTTCTTGTACCCCATTCCAGCCTTGTGTAGGTCTACAATCTTGTCCCTGACATCCTTGGAGAGCTCTTTGGTCTTGGCCATGTTGGAGAGTTTGGAATCTGATTGATTGCTTCTGTGGACAGGTGTCTTTTATACAGGTAACAAGCTGAGATTAGGAGCACTCCCTTTAAGAGTGTGCTCCTAATCTCAGCTCGTTACCTGTATAAAAGACACCTGGGAGCCAGAAATCTTTCTGATTGAGAGGGGGTCAAATACTTATTTCCCTCATTAAAATGCAAATCAATTTATAACATTTTTGACATGCGTTTTTCTGGATTTTTTTGTTGTTATTCTGTCTCTCACTGTTCAAATGAACCTACCATTAAAATTATAGACTGATAATTTCTTTGTCAGTGGGCAAACGTACAAAATCAACAGGGGATCAAATACTTTTTTCCCTCACTGTACATTGCGGGTGTGTGTCTTTAGCTATGGGAGAAAACTGGATAACCTGGAGGAAACCCATGCAGATCAAAGGGAGAAAATATAACAAAGATATGCCCGAGGTCGGGAATGAAATTCATGCCTCTTCTACTGTCGGGCACGAGTGTCTCCACTGCACCACCTTGCTGTCCGTAAACAAAATAAAGTTCTTGCTGATTTGAATATTGCATGTCTATTTTTTTTGGCTCTGTCGTCTTGAACTTCGCGACCAATATTTATTTAATGTGAACACAAATAGAATCAATTGTGTTATCAAGACAAATACATTTTCACGTGTCTGGCATTGGTTTAATTGCGATATATTGATGATGATGGTGGTGGTAATATGATGATGGTAATGCCATGTTATGGTCTTGATGGTGCTGCTGACAAGGTTGTTGACATTTATGACAGCGTTGATGATGCAAGGATGATGGTCATTAGTGATGCTGGTGGCGACAGTTCAGCGACGGTAACAACGTTGATGGGTGTCATTGCAACATGATGATGATGGTGCTGCCAGTGATCGCTGTAGGGGAAAGCCCCTGTTGTTGTTCGCGGTGACGTTCATGGTGGTGGTTGTGCCGTGTGTGCAGGTGGTACCATGGCAAGCTGGACCGCTCCATCGCCGAGGAGCGGCTGCAGCAGGCGAGTCGCCCAGGCAGTTACCTCGTACGCGAGAGCGACCGCCAGCCTGGATCCTTTGTGCTCTCCTTCCTCGGCAAGACCGGAGTCAACCACTTCAGGTGTGTATGTGAGCGTGAGCACGTTTGTGTGATTGTGTGCGTGTCAGCACGAGTGTGTGATTGTGTGCATGTGAGCACGTGTGTGTGTGTGCGAGTGTGAGCACAGTGCCGGACGGGCAACTCTGTCGTGGACAGTGCTGTGGGGGGAGGTCCAATTCCTATTGGCTCCTCCCCTCATGGCGTCTGTGTCCACCACAGTGGCTAAACGGGGGCTCTGGACGGGTACGAGGGGCTGGTAACCCCTCCACCTTCAATTAATTACCACTAAACTACAAATACAAAATTTAACTAATAAGCTTGTGCCGGAGGCCCCGGGGGGACAGGCGTCTATGACGTCTCCTGGCCAAACCCCAATTGGTGGAGCCAGGAGATTGAATCTCTATCCTCGGGGCTCCTCCAGAAACAACGAAAGGCCACTACGGATGGCCACATGGAATGTTCGAACGCTCACTGCAGAGGAGAGGCTGCCACTCCTCTGTCGGGAGCTGGACCTGTACCGCCTGGATCTCTGCGGCATTCAGGAGGTCTGGTGGACCGGTTCTGGCTCCTGCCACCATGAAGGGTGGACAGTCCGCTACTCGGGGCAGCAGACTGCCAAACAACAGGGTGTGGCTCTTCTTTTGAACAAAAGAATGAAGGGGGTGTGGGAGCGTGGCGGTGAGGTGTGGGAAGCTGTAAGCCCCAGGCTACTTTGGGCTCGCCTTCCCATCAACCGGAGGCGAGGAGTGGTGGTCGTGGTTACTTATGCCCCCACCGAAGACGAACATCCGTGGAGGGATGCAGGCAAAGCCAATGAGTCAGATGCCTTCTATGACCTCCTGTCACAGGTGCTGGCTAAAGTGGCCCCTCGGGATAGAGTCATCTTGTTGGGTGACTTCAATGCCCGAGTTGGTCATGATGCTGACACCTGGTCTGGAGTGATTGGAGGGCATGGGCCAGATCAGCTCAATAACAACGGTAGGAGGCTGCTAGATTTTTGTGCAGCCCATGGGCTTGTAATTACCAACACGCTGTTCCGGCATCGGCGCATCCACACAACATCATGGGTGCATGCCGGGTCCAAGCAAGAACATCTGCTGGACTACATAATGACGGACCAGCGGATGCGAGCCCATGTCCTTGACACCAGGACCTACCGTGGAGCTGATCTGCCCTCTGACCATCGACTAGTCATCTGTAAGATGCGCCTGCCATTCTTCCACTCCGGCGGTGGGTGTACACCCAGGACCCCATTCCAACCTAAAGTGGCCTGAGTTATCTGATGAAAGTTGCAAGCGAGAATTTCATCATCGCTTGTGGCTGGGGTTGGCATCGTCCCCCACTCCTTCTGATGTTGAGGGTAAATGGGCGAGGTTTAGGACTGTGACTCATGCAGCTGCAATGGCTGCTTTGGGTACATGGTCCAGACCTCCCCAGAGACCTTGGCTGACAGAGGAGGTGTTCAGGATGGTTGAGAAAAAAGCGACAGGCCCACTGTCTTCGGCTACAGAATCCCACGTCAGAGAATGAGGAGGCTTACCGCAGCCTTCGCTCGGAGGTTCGGAGAGCCGTGAGGCGCTGCAAGGATGGGTGGTGGTCGCGGGTTGCTGAGGAGATGGAGTCTGCCTCAGTGGCCCGCGATCCCAAATCTCTATTTAACTCCATCAAAAAAGTAACCTGCAGCGCCACACCTATTACCATCATTAGAGGAAAAAACGGTGATCCAATCTCCGACCCCCAGGAACAGGTTTGCAGATTTGCTGAGCATTTCTGTGAGGTCCTGGGGGAGGGGAAATCCCTCAGCCAGGAAAACATCGTGGCACAAAGTGGGGATGACCCTGCTGAGGCTGCGGTGCCTCAAATATTGGAAGAAGTCACCCCCTGTGAGTGGCTGGCTGAGGTGCCATCTGTTGAGGAAGTACTGAAGGCGATCCGGAGTCTGAGACCAGGAAAAGCGGCGGGCAGAGATGATCTCTAGATTTAAAGCTTTCGTGACTTCAAGGATCCATACTCTTTGGTTCTATTTGGTAAAGTCACGTAGGTAAAAAATAAAACAACAAAAATCACGACGTTTCGGCCACAACACAAGCGGCCTTCATCAGGTGAAGGGATCAGGCTGTCTCGAGGACAGCGCTGGAGTGAAACATAGCCACGCTCAGACCACGAACCTTTAAGCTGTGTGCGAGGAAACAAGGTGCCTTGACAAAGGAAGTAGCATAAAAATTAGCATTTGATTGGCCGACTTAGCATAGAGGTGGTGTACGTGCTGGTGGAATTGCCGTTTGGCGCGGGGGGGGGGGGAGGGGGAGTTTACCTATTGATGGTGTGAAAAGGGAATTTTTAAGAGCTACGAAAGTTTGGGGTACCACTACTTAAAAAATATGCTGTACCATTGAAAATTAGTTTAATGTTTAGTTCGATTTAGAACATCTTTCCAATGGTTGCTTAATTTGAAACCATCTTCTCGGTTGAAATTGTGTGTTTGTAGATCTGAATTGCCTTGTGAACAAATCTCTGATAAAAACCCGTGGGTTTGCAAAGAACCTTGGTATCGGAGAAAATTATATCATTATCACCCACAGCGTTGTAACAGTGATCAGCCACGGCAGAAGAATTCGTTTTGTCGTGTTTCAAATCTGATTCTAAACAAACACAAGATCCAGGTCCGGTTCAATACAGTACACAAAATTCATGATCTGATCCCATCCGTGAAGGATGTCATTCCTGACTTACAGTACCCCGGGGTTTACAAATTGAGTTGTACCTGCGGTGATTGCTATATCGGGGAGACAAAGCGACATGTCTCTGACCGAATTCGCGAGCACAAATCAGATTTGAAACACGGGAAAACGATTTCTTCTGCCATGGCTGATCACTGCTACAACGCTGTGGGTGATCATGATATAATTTTCTCCGATACCAAGTTTCTTTGCAAACCCACGGGTTTTTTTATCAGAGATTTGTTCACGAGGCAATTCAGATCTACAAACACAGACACAATTTCAACCGAGAAGATGGTTTCAAATTAAGCAACCATTGGAAAGATGTTCTAAATCGAACTAAACATTAAACTAATTTTCAATGGTACAGTATATTTTTCAAGTAGTGGTACCCCAAACTTTCGCAGCTCTTAAAAATTCCCTTTTCACACCATCAATAGGTAAACTCCCCCTCCCCCCCCCGCGCCAAACGGCAAGTCCACCCGCACGTACACCACCTCTATGCTAAGTCGGCCAATCAAATGCTAATTTTTATGCTAATTGCTTTGTCAAGGCACCTTGTTTCCTCGCACACAGCTTAAAGGTCCGTGGTCTGAGCGTGGCTGTGTTTCACTCCAGCGCTGTCCTCGAGACAGCCTGATCCCTTCACCTGATGAAGGCCGCTTGTGTTGTGGCCGAAACGTCGTGATTTTTGTTGTTTTATTTTTTACCTACGTGACTTTACCGAATAGAACCAGAGTAGAAATGATCTCCCAAGCGAAATGCTGAGGGAGGGTGGCGTTTGTGCACAGACTGCCCTATATGACCTCATAACAACAGTCTGGACCACTGGACAGGTTCCGCAGGTTTGGAAGGATGCCCTGGTGGTCCCCCTCTTTAAGAAGGGGGACCGCACAGACTGTAACAACTACAGGGGCATCTCACTCCTCAGTGTGCCGGGAAAGGTCCTGGCAAGGATTATTCAACATCGCCTTGCCAGGCACGTTGAGGAGAGGCTTGCGGAGCCCCAATGCGGTTTCAGGAAAGGGCGGTCCTGCACGGATGCCATCTTTTCTGTCCGTCTGCTACAGCAGAGGTGTAGGGAATTCCAGCAAGACCTACATCTCTGCTTTATTGACCTGGTCAAGGCCTATGATACCATCAGTAGGCCTGGGCTCTGGGTTGTTGTTCGTGCTTTTGGAGTACCTGACCCTCTGCTCACGATCATTAAGGACCTTCATGATGGTGAGCGGGTCCGGGTAAAACTACGTGGCCGAGGGTCAGAGCCATTCCCTGTACACTTTGGGGTGCGACAGGGATGTCCTCTGGCTCCCACATTATTTAACATCTATTTTGACCACGTAGTTCGTGAAGCCTTCAATAGTTGTACCGGGGGAATCTCCATATGGTACAGATATAATGGGAGGCTGATCGATGCCCGGGTGCGGTCAAGGGATGGCTCCCTATTGCTCAACCATGTTATGTATGCCGATGATTTGGTAATAGCTGCTCATTCAGAGGAGGAGTTGGAGACGCTGCTGTTGAGACTGGAGCGTGCTACTAAGAGATGGGGCCTTACCATCAGCCCCACCAAAACTAAGCACCTGCCTGGGTATTTTGTACCATCGGACACTCCACCCCCACAACTCCCAATCGGTGATGGGGCAGTTGTGGAGAGAGTGGAGAGTTTCCCATACCTGGGCAGTGTGCTTATGACCGGCTCCAGTTTAACAGCAGAGGTTTCACTCCGAATCAGTCGAGCGGCAATATCTTTTCATCGGTTGCGTAATGCTGTGTGGAAGCTACCTGGTCTGTCGGTCCGTGCTAAGCTTCAGGTCTTCTCGGCCACGGTCATTCCATACCTTCTCTACACTTGCGAAACGTAGACCCCCCTAATGGAACATCTTCGCCGGTTAGAAACATTTAGGCTGGCCTGCCTATGATCCATTCTGGGTTTAACCAGGCTGGATTGTGTGAGGAGCTCACAAATCCTTGAAAGATCTGGGCACGGTCCCATCGGTGAGCTCCTCTGGCAGGCAAGGCTGCGTTGGCTGGGTCATGTAGCCCGCATGCCCATCCACCGCATGCTGAAACAGCTTTTGTTCGGCCGGAACGAGGGGGCTAAACGGGCGCGGCACGGGCTAGAGAAGAGATGGAGTGACTTGGTGCAGGAGGACGTGGAGCTTAGTGGACTTGCCAATGACTGGTACCAGCGGTGTCAAGATCAGCCTCTGTGGAGGAGGCTCGTGAAGGACGCTACTGGGCAGTTGGAGGCAGTCGCCCTCCAACAACAACGGAGGGCGGAGGAGCGACGCTCGCAACAACGAGCGGAGCGCCGGGTGGCTAAAGCACAGCAAGTTGGCACAGTAGGGGGCACAGATGGTGCATCAGCCAGTCATCTCAGTCAGTCGACCCGTGGCACCTGGGTCTGCCCCGTGACCTCCTGCCAGCGGGCGTTCGACACTCCACATAGCCTCAAGATGCACATGGCCTGGCACAAGCGTCGTGGTGACGTCACCGCCACTTAGTGGCGAATGGCGGTTGTTGTTATTGTTTGTGAGTAAGTACATGTGTGTGATTGTGTAAGATTGTGTGCATGTGAGTATGGGGAGCGGTAGGGTAGCGGTTAGCATGCTGCGCTACAAACCAGGTGACCCGAATTCGATTCCCACTCACGGCCAACATCAGTGACAATTATCTGAATCACTCCTGGGCCTCCCCTAAGTCGACTCGCCCTCAAATGAGCACCTGGTGCATTGTGTAAACATTGCAACTGGGGAAACAAAGGCAGCCGGGCGTGGTATTTGTCACCAACCCCCTCATGTGCCGTTCCTGCTTTCATCGGTGCTCGCTAATAGCACTTGCCCCAACAGTCTGTTAAGGCTGTAATGGGGATATTTGCCTTTGTAAAACAGTAGCTGAGTGATGTTATCTCTGCCCCCTAATCCCACAACGCCAGCCTCCCTGCCTGCCTGTTTTGTTATCAGTGGTGCTCGGTATCCGTGGCTGGCATAGAGTCTCTCCCTTAGGTCAGCTCAACCTAGAATGCATACGCTCAGTGATAGTGTACGAAGCACACTCGCTTGTGGCTTGATCACTTTGACAAATGTCATTTGAGAGTAATCAGGGTTGTGGTACTTTTGTCACGTTGACCCGATTTGTTTGCCCGTGCTGACGCGGCCCAGCAAGGGGGGGCAGGGGTGGGGGGCGCATTTGCCGCTCGGTTGCGGATGCTCGCGGTTAGAATGCGAATGCTGGCGGACTGCCCTGGTGGTCACTTCGGGTGTCTTAACCATTGCAAGTACACCCCCATCCACTGCAAAGAAGATGTTAAAGTTCCCCATTGTGTCGTTCAAAACGAGTAGGCCCATCCTGCGCTGTTGTCGTGGTTCGAATTAAAATATTACCCCCAAATTATTGTTACTAGGTTTGTTTACCCAGGAAAGCCTCTCTCCTGACTTGCTTTCAGGAGGGTCCTGCCAAGTTTTCACAGTGGTGGGGGGGGGGGGGGGCAGGATGATGATTGCTCTGTATATTGAGTACTTTGCGGTGTAATTTTATTAATGTTGGCCTACTCTTGCGAAGGACGTAATGCGATCTATCATGTCCACTGAAGAAGACAGCACGTGTTTATACGGTCGATACAGCCGCAGTATTGACCAGGGCGGCCGTTATGACTCGAACCGTAAAACTGCAACAAGCGGCCAATGCACAACTCCAAGGCCGTGTGACCACCGAAAAGAATGTGCCCACACCGGGAGAAATGCCACGACCTCCTCGGTGTAAGCCAGTAGTCCTAACCACAAAACCACATGGAAATTAGGAGGGAAACCCATGCGGAACGGGAGGGGGTGGGGGGGTGTGGGAAAACATAGAAACTCCTGAATTGGAAATCGAACCCAGGGCCTGCTTGCTGTGAGGTGCAAGTGTTGCCATTTCACCACCCTGCCCCACCCAGCCTGGGTCACAGCAGTGTAGCGTGTTTTTGCATGGGCCCTTTTGGGAAGAATCAAATGCAGTTGCACCAGGCCCTTCTGACTGCGGGGCGCGAGCGTCGCCACCATCGTGCCGCCACCCCCACTGCTGCCCAGTGTGAACCGTGTGGTCGTTGTGCCTGCGCCCCCCATCTGTCCCCGTGCTACCTCCACGTAGGATCATTGCAATGTGCGGTGACTACTACATCGGCGGGCGGAGGTTCTCCTCTCTGTCCGACCTCATCGGCTACTACAGCCACGTGTCCTGCCTGCTCAAGGGGGAGCAGCTCCTCTACCCCGTGCCCCCTCCTGAGGTTCCTCCCGCAGTCCCCAACTCCCCCAAACTGACATACACGCACGCCGTGCCACGCACACACCGCGCCACACACAAGACGTGCCACACACACACCCCTACCACACGCACACACTGCTACCACACACACACCACTACCATACAACCCTACCACACACACCGCTGTGTGTGGATATTCGTGTTCTCGTGAGCTTGTTCCCCTGTGCGTACATGTAATTGCTATGGGCTGTGCGCATTTATGTCCGTGTGTGTTTGTGCGTGCAGCCGGTCGAGGATCGGAGACGCGTGCGCGCCATCCTGCCCTACACCAAGGTGCCGGAGACGGACGAGCTCAGGTAGTGAAGCCCTGTCGCTGTGCCCGCCCTTACTCCCTCTCTCCCAATCCCTCGCCTGCCCAGCGTAGTGCGGCCCCACCGCTCGGCAACGGCACCACCGGTGCACTGGCACACAGCGACGTGCCACCTCCGCCACTTACAGGCAGTGGAGCGACCTCGCCCGTCCTGTCTGCACCGCCTCATCTCCTCCGCGAGACTTGGCCCCTCCGCTGTGACGAGCATTACCTCCCGCAGCGAGGGGGGGCTGGCCGGATGAGCTGGGACGCATGTGCCGTTGATAATGAGTTGTGCGCGCCGGCTAGCCTCCTCGCCGGTTTGCCTCCCTGCCCGCTGTGCGTGCGTGCGTGTGTCCCGCTCTCTCCTTGCCTCTCTACCTCTCGCCTCCCCACCCCTTCCGTCCTTCGCCTCTCTCCCCCGCTCTCTCTGCGCCCCCTCCCCTGCCTTACAGCCCTGTCTTCCAGACCCTCGTGTACCTGGCACTCTCTTACGTTTTTCTGCTCTGCTTCAGGTAAGCCTCTTGCCTGCCCTTCTGCCCTTTTCTGCCTGCCCCTCCTTCTCCTGCACGCCCGCCATTCTGCCTGTCATTCCAGCTCGCCTGCCTGCCCTCCTCTGTTGTGCCCATTCTTTCCTGCCCGCTTGCCTCCCCCCGTCCTCTTCCAGCTGTGTGTCTTGTTCTCGTAGGGGATGTTCCCTATACAGGTTTGTAAATACCGTGTCTGTCTGCTCGTATTATGATTACCACAGTCTCGTATATGTGCTCGAGCAGCGGTGAGACTTCTTATCGCGCAGAGCTATTATGAAAGAAGGCGCTGCTATATTTCAGTCTCCAGTAGTTTCACAGTGGATAGGCGATATTGCTCTGTGTGTGTAATCCCAATTGAGTATTCATATTCTTTGGGTCTTTCGGTAAAGCCACATAGATATAAAAATATAGCGGGAGAGCTGCCTCACTATGTTCCTGCATCAGCAGCTCTCCCGCTATATTTTTCACCTGATAATGATTGCTTGTGTTTCGATCGAATTGTCGTGATATTGTTTTTTCTTTTTTTCTATCTACGTGGATTTACCGAAAGACCCAAAAATATGAATTCCTGCAGTCACGAAAGCTTTAAGTCTCAATTGAGTAATTTTGCGATGTAGTTTTTCCAAATTTGGATCCTGGCGTTGGCACTACATGGCCTGCTCTTCTTGGAATGACGTCACAGAATATTTAACCGTCACTGTGAGTGAGGCAGACAACGTGTGGAATTTTACGGTTAACAATACACACCGCAGTAATAACCAGGGTGGCCTGCCGGATTTGAACCACGAGCCTCTACAACAAGCGGTGGACGCTCTACCGCTGGGCCATGTCACGGCCCCAGGTGCTGAAGAGCGGGCAAAGACGATTACCAATAATTGTGATGATAACGATGATGATTAAGGAGATCGATTTACCGAACTGAGCAACAAACACGACACTGACGATGATTGTGTGTCTGTCAAGTTTTGCATGGAACTAGGACTCGTATCTTAACACTAGATGTTCCTATAAACATCTTGCAGTTCACCAGCATTGGTTCCAGCAAGGTTCTTATAAGAAAGACACTGTCGCAACCAATTTGCAGTTTGCTGCTGAAATGACACACCCACAGAGGGAAGGCCATGTGGCCAATGGGATGTTTAAACATTACACCTGTATATTTATTGTGTGTGTGGAGGGACAGATATGTGAAGGAGGCGTGCATTGTCTTGTATCAAACACGTTTGATACTCGTCCAGCTCGTAGACTAAATGAAGCGGATCGCTAAGTTATTGAACAATTGAGGATGCTGCTCTTACACTTGTGCAGTATGCACATGCGTGCTTATCTGTGTGTGCTTGTATTTTGGTGTGTACTTGCACTTGTGTGCATATTAATTAATGCCTGTGTCCCTGTCTGCGTGTGTGTTTGCTTGTTTGCATATATCTTGCCTTGTCTGCCTGTATGTGTTTGTGCCTGCGTGAGTGCGTGCATGCCTGCCTGCCCGTACATGCCTGGGTGTGCCTGTCTGCATGTCTGTATGTGTGTCTCTGTGTGTGTGTGTTCCCGCGTGTTTGCACGTGTACGTGTGTGTGCATGCCTGTCTGTGTGTTTACGTCTCCCTGTGTGTGCTCGTACCTGCCTTTGTACCTGTGTACTTCCCTGTACTTTCCTGTTCCTGTCTGTGTTCATACATGTTGGGTGCGTGTGTCTGCGTGCCTGCCGTTTGCCTGCGTCTGCCTGCATCTGCATGCGTCTCGCCTGTCTCTGCGTGCCTGCGTCTGCTGGTCGCTGCTTGCGACCACTTGCGTCCGCTTGTGCGCTCCAACCTTTAGCTTTGTGAAGGGCGACGTGTTCATCGTGCACAACACACTGGAGGATGGCTGGCTCTGGGTGACGAACCTGCGCACCAGCGAGCACGGAGTCATCGTCGAGGACCTGGTGGAGGAGGTGGTGAGCACCCTTTCTTTACTCGACCTCTCCCCCCCTGGCCCGCACACCGCCGCGGGTGCAGGTGTGTCTTCGCGCGCGCGCGCCTGCCGGTCAGTTGGCGTGTGCCGAACTAAAATTCCGCTCGGTCGTGTAGACGCAAATGAACGGTCTGGAATAAAAATTTAAGAGGAGCATTCATTGATTCATTCAGTATTAACGAATGGATTTGCAAGGGAGACCAGGATGTCGATTGACACCTATAGCAAACACGGAATAACACACATGTTCAACATACATACATGCATGTATGTTGAACTTATGTATGTTGAACTTCTTGTGCACCATACGTAGCCAACCGTGCTAATTGGAGGTGCGGGGGAAGGACAACATATACATCACACACACATACAAATATCCCCCATTTAGCCTTCTAATAGGCTGTTGGAGCAAGTGCTTTTAACGAGCACCTATGAAGGCTGGCATGGTACTTTGTGCCACGATGTTTTCCTGGCTGAGGGATTTTCCCTCCCCCAGGACCTCACAGAAATGCTCAGCAAATCTGCAAACCTGTTCCTGGGGGTCGGAGATTGGACCACCGTTTTTTCCCCTAATGATGGTAATAGGTGTGGCGCTGCAGGTTACTTTTTTGATGGAGTTAAATAGAGATATGTGATCGCGGGCCACTGAGGCAGACTCCATCTCCTCAGCAACCCGCGACCACCACCCATCTTTGCAGCGCCTCACGGCTCTCCGAACCTCCGAGCGAAGGCTGCGGTAAGCCTCCTCATTCTCTGATGTGGGATTCTGTAGCCGATGACAGTGGGCCTGTCGCTTTTTCTCAACTATCCTGAACACCTCCTCTGTCAGCCAGGGTCTCTGGGGAGGTCTGGACCGTGTACCCAAAGCAGCCAATGCAGCTGCATGAGTGACAGTCCTAAACCTCGCCCATTTACCCTCGACATCAGGAGGAGTGGGGGACGATGCCAACCCCAGCCGCAGGCGATGATGAAATTCTTGCTTGTAACTTTCATCAGATAACTGAGACCAGGCCACTTTAGGTTGGAATGGGGTCCTGGGTGTACACCCACTACCGGAGCGGAAGAATGGCAGGCGCATCTTACCGATAACTAGTCGATGGTCAGAGGGCAGATCAGCTCCACTGTAGGTCCTGGTGTCAAGGACATGGGCTCGCATCCACTGGTCTGTCACTATGTAGTCCAGCAGATGTTCTTGCTTGGACCCGGCATGCATCCATGATGTTGTGTGGATGTGCCGATGCCGAAACAGCGTGTTGGTAATTACAAGCCCATGGGCTGCACAAAAATCTAGCAGCCTCCTACCGTTGTTATTGAGCTGATCTGGCCCATGCCCTCCAATCACTCCAGACCAGGTGCCAGCATCATGACCAACTCGGGCATTGAAGCCACCCAACAAGATGACTATCCCGAGGGGCCACTTTAGCCAGCACCTGTGACAGGAGGTCATAGAAGGCATCTGACTCATCGGCTTTGCCTGCATCCCTCCACGGATGTTCGTCTTCGGTGGGGGCATAAGTAACTACGACCACCAATCCTCGCCTCCGATTGATGGGAAGGCGAGCCCAAAGTAGCCTGGGGCTTACAGCTTCCCACACCTCACCGACACGCTCCCACGCCCCCTTCATTCTTTTGTTCAAAAGAAGAGCCACACCCTGTTGTTTGGCAGTCTGCTGCCCCGATTAGAGGACTGCCCACCCCTTATGGTGGCAGGAGCCAGAACCGGTCCACCGGACCTCCTGAATGCCACAGAGATCCAGGCGGTACCGATCCAGCTCCTGACAGAGGAGTGGCAGCCTCTCCTCCGCAGTGAGCGTTCTAACATTCCACGTGGCCACACAAAGTGGCTTTTCGTTATTTCTGGAGGAACCCCGAGGGTAGAGATTCAATCTCCTGGCTCCGCCAATTGGGGTTTGGCCAGGAGACGTCAGACGCCTGTCCGCCCGGGGCCTCCGGCACAAGCTTATTAGTTAGATATTTTAGACGTGGTTTAGTGGTAAATTTTTTAAGGTGGAGGGGTTACCAGCCCCTCGCACCCGTCCATAGCCCCCGTTTAGCCCCTGTGGTGGTCACAGACGCCATGAGGGGAGGAGCCAATCGGAATGGGCCCTCCCCCCACAGCACTGCCCACGATAGAGTTGCCCGTCCGGCACCGTGAGGAGGTAGGGGCTTGTTTTGCCGGACACACTGCCCATAATACACACAAGCACCCACCACACACGCATGCAGAGAAAACCTGTAATGACACCTATACAAACATTTTGACCTATACCTTACACGTTCAAAGCTAGCATGGGCAGCGTTGCAGTGGCTGATAAAGAATACCAACAACAATAATAATAGTTTAACCAAAGATAATTTTCCTCGACACCCGCATGACGAAGATCGAGCCTTGGTTAGCCGTGTTGTAGGGCCACTGCCACGAACAACCTTAGAGCTGGTTGTGGTCGGTTAGCGCCCCGTGAGAGGGCATTTGTAACGGCGCTGCTGTGTGATGACACCGTGCGGACCGCTAACAGTGACCTCTCTTCTCTTCAGGCCAGCAAGGAGGATCCTCATGAAGGAAAGCCGTGAGTATCGCCTCGTCTCTCCCCACACCGTGACCACCGTTTTGTGTGTGCCATCGCTGCCAGGTAGCTCAGCGGTAGAGCGAGGATGCTCGCAGCAGTCAGAAGGTCACGAGTTCAAATCCTGAGTTGGCCCATCATCCCTTCCCCCCCCCTATGGTTGATAACATAGGTACCGCTATGTGGGGAAGATCTGACAGCTGTTGTCCGATGGATACACATGCCCCCACCTTTCCATAGAAATGCAGAATTTCCACCACTGTCTCTGCAGGGACCATTGGTAAACTGTAGATGAGGACCAATGCGTCGATGCCCATCTGAACAGGAATTCACTTTGGCTTGAGCAGTCACGGGGACAGAACTTGCCACAGGTGTAGCTTCGTACACAGCGGCATGTACTCGTGACCGCATCAGGCAGTCGCAGGTCGAGGGAGATCTTGAACCTGGACTTGAACAGAGGCAGGCAATCAACAACTCGGATGTACGGGGGAAGGGAATTCCACAGCAATGGGGCAGCAGAAGAGAATGAGCAACCTCCCCACTGATGGAAGGTTGACCGGGATTTTCCACGGGCAGCCTGGGTTGCTGGAGCAGAGAACATTAGGAGGAGAGTAGAATGAGACCGACCTGGCCGACCTGGTGTGACTATGTGTGAGTTATTGCTATCTGGAGTCTGGCTAGCCAAGGTTTCACCATCCCAAAATGGTTTAACAGAACTGAAACTCCGTCTCTTGCTTTGCAGGTGGTTCCATGGCAAGATCACGAAGCAGGAAGCGTACACCCTCCTCATGTCCGGTGAGAACTCGGCACACGCTCGCCCCCCCCCCCCCCCACCTTGTTAAGGCGCGTCGCGACACCGAGAACACAATAAGCTGGCAAAGCAGCCTATCGAGGGAGCCTGTGTTTTGCCGTAGCTTTCAGGTGTGTACAGACGGCGCGTACACAAGAAAACTCTCGTACACGTGAGCTCGCACACGTGCGCATGTCGTCGCGGCGATTCCAAAAGTTTCTGGGTCCATGCGCCTCCATCAATCCTCAAGACGGGTTTTTGCGGACCACTGTGCAGTAAATAAACGTGGTGCTTTGTGGGAAAAAAATCCCCCCCACCGCCTTGCGGGCACCGCCAGTGGCCTGGCTAGGCAGGCTCGGCGGCATAGCGAGTGGCTCGCAATCGGAAGGTCTCGAGGTCAAAATCCTGGCTCAGACTGTTGACTTGGCCCAGCATCCTTCCCCCTAGGGAGTCGATACAATGAGTGTCACCAAGTGGGGAAGTCGATGGCAATCGTTGTGCTTTGGATATACTCACCCCGGCCATATGAATGTTCATTTTTTTTTCCTGAAGTGGGCAAGGTGTGCAGCTTCCTGGTACGCCCGTCGGACAGCACGCCGGGTGACTACTCGCTCTACTTCCGCACGCCCGACAATATCCAGCGCTTCAAGATCCAGCGGTCCACCAGCACGCAGTTCAGCATGGGCGGCCGCTACTACAACAGGTGTCTCAGCCTGTGTGTGTATAGTCTTCGCTAACAGCACTTGCCTCAATAGTCTGTACAGGCAATTCAGAGGATCTTTGTCTTTTTGTATGGGGAGGAGTATTGTAGTGATTTAATGGGGCTGCGCTATGAACTTGGGTGACCCAAGTTCGATTCCCGCTCTCAGCCAACAACAGACACGATTATCTGAACTGGTCCTGGGCCTCCCCTAGGTCGGCTCAACCTCAAATGAGTATCTGGCATCATGTGTAAACATTGCGACTTGGGAGACAAAGGCGGCCAGGCGTGATACTTGCCACCCACCGCCTCGTGTGCCGTGCTGGCTTTCATAGGTGCTCCCTAACAACACTTACCCCACCGATCTGTGCAGGCTATCCATGCAGGGGATCTTTGCGCATGTAAGGGCTGCAGGCCACGCTACAGATAAGGAAAGCGTTGGGTTATGGAGTAATTCTCCTTACCATCGTTGATGCTATGCCAGAAAAATGCACGGATTTCGCAAAGTCGCGAGAAATGTCGATGAAATGGAACTCGCCTGCGTCCGTACAAGCAGCTGTGGCGTGCGGCGAACCCCCGCCCCTCCCCCACCCGCGGTTCGTGCATGTCTCTCCATGTCTTTGCTGTCTTTTCCCCACACCTGATTAGCACGGTTGCCTACGTACGGTGCTAAAGAAGTTCAGGCATACATGCATAATCTAAGACGAACGCGCGCCGTTCCTTTGTAGCATCGACGAGATCATCAATCACTACAAGCAGGAGCAGATTGTGGAGGGACACAACCTCAAGGAGCCCGTGCCCGTCCAGGTGAGAGGCGGCGACGCCAACAACACGTGGCATCTATCGGTCACGGGTGTCTCTTCCCGCCTGGCGTTTTTTCCTCTCATGTGTAGACAGCCGTCTTGCTCCTCTCTCTCTCTCTCTCCACTCAATCCTGTTCAGGGCCATCTCTTGCACTACAATCCTCCATGTCCAACTTACCGATCGCTTTGCCAGGCGTTTTGCTTGCATTTTCATCATCATCGTCAGCCATGAGCAATCCACTGCTGGATTAAGTCCTCCCCAAGCAGTCTCCATCTCTCACGGCCACACGGAAATCCCATATCGCTCCTGCTGTGCGTTAAGATAGATCGATTGTAGCATCCGGCTCGTACATGCGCTCCATCTCCACGGTGGACGTCCCTCTTGGGGCGTGCAAGTCGGAAACACATGTGAATGAACTCAGAAACAATTTTAACCTTTCGACAGCGTTTGTGAAGCCAGTGACTTCAGAAGAAGCCCTCCTCAAATGACCATCGAGTAGTGCAAATCTACATTGGCAACCCTGAGCCACTGGTGGTAATTCCACATTCCTATGTCAGGAACCGGTCTATCCACAGGATAACCGCATTTGAAATTCCCACAAAGTGGTACAGCTTCATCAGACGGTGCTCATCTCACCCACCTCGGAGAGAAATGATGCCGCCCACGATGGTGATGGTAACGACGATGACGAGGTTGTATTTGTGCCGACAGGACAACAAGTTGTACTGCAACATGGTCGATGGCAAGGACATCTACCGCACGATCCGCGAGCGGCAGAGAGACACGATGCTGCTCAAGAACGTGGTGAAGAAGGGCTACCTCCTCAAGAAAGGTGAGCGGCGGCGGCGGCGTTGCCACTTTCACCGACGACCCGAGTATTTGCTTTCCGACCGCAGTGACGGCATCCTCCGGGTGTCGTGCTCGTGTCTGGCAGCAAGAAGGCCGTGGGTGCGATTCCCTACTCGGGTGCCTTTCTGTGCAGAGTTTGTTTCTTCTCCCGCTGTTTTGTAGAGAGTGTGAGTGGCGTTTTATGATCTCCTGTTCTGTAGAGTGTGTGAGTGGAGTGTTTTCCTCTCCTTTTTCTTCATGGATTTCCTCCAGGTTCCCCGGTTACCTCCCATAGCTAAACACACAGAATGTAACTGGTATTGGCCAAAACATCGCAATGCTGTGGTGATTGCTATGCGTTTCCCAATTAAGTCACTGGATCAAGGGGAAGATAACCAAGAGGCAGAGATGAGCGATCTGGAGATGAGAGGTACGGATTAGTTGTCACATGCAGACGTTATGATGTAACGTCTGCATGATGTAACACCAGCACACGCTCATTTTATTCCTCGGCCCATGAGGGGATATGGCCAGAAGGGCTCACTGCCTTGGATCTTTTTGTGCGGTCAACGATGACCGGACCGAAGCCATCGACTGTCTCCGCTTGAGAACCTGGTTCAACCGCAGCCGGCTGAAACGCCGGAATTAAACCCAGGATCTCGGTTGCGCCAGCTAGCCTGCCCCATCATCGTGTCCGGCACGCTGAGCCGGGCCTACGGCCACCAAACCCGGTGTTTGCTGGTGCCGCGCTGCCTCCCGCAGGCAAGAGCAAGCGCTGGAAGAGCCTGTACTTCGTGCTGGGCGGGAACGATGCACAGCTCTTCTTCTTCGAGAGCGAGAAGCGTGCCACCAAACCCAAGGGCCTCATCGACCTCAGCATCTGCTCCATCTACGCCGTGCACGAGAGCTTCTTCGGACGGTGAATTGCGGGCTAGTGGGCTTGGCGGGTGGGCGAGCTTGTGGCTGGCTGGAGGGCTGGGCAGGCTGGTTGATGGGCTGGTAGGGGTGGGCTGGTGGTCGGACAGCTTTGTAGGCGAGCTGATGGGCTGGCAGGCTCGAAGACGGGCCCGTGGGCTGGCAGTTTGGTGTGCGGGCTGCAGGCTGGTGGGCGGGTTGGGTGGTGGGCGGGTTGGGTGGTGGGCAAGCTGATGGACTGGCAGGCTGGTGGGCGGTCTTGCGGGTGACTAGACTGGTGGACGGGCTGCCTGGCTGGCTGGTGGTCAGGCAGGCAGGCTGGTGGGCGGTCTTGCGGGTGACTAGACTGGTGGACGGGCTGCCTGGCTGGCTGGTGATCAGGCAGGCAGGTTGGTGGGCGGGCCGGTGGGTGCTTGCTGTCTCGTGTCTTGCTGATCGCGTCCACACTATCCCATGCAGGCCCCACTGCTTCCAGATCGTGGTGCAGGACTTCAGCGAGGAGAACGACATCTTCTACTTTGCCGCTGAGACCCAGGAGTCGGCGCAGGTGAGCGGGCGGAGCGGAGGGGCCGCGCGCGGGTCTGTAAACGCGCTCGTGCACGGGGTGGCGGAGGCGGTTGAATTTTGTTTCAAATGTACGTGATGAAGACACGTGTTTGACTCGACCATGTAGGACTTCGCAGCACGATGCTAATGTCAATTACGGATCAAAGCATATCTCAAAGTCGTCTATGTGAAAAGCAATTTTAACATTAGGAATAATGGCGAAGGAGGGGGTTCGGTAATTTCACTCGCAGATATAATCACATATATTATCCGAGCCTATATCAATACAATACATGTAAACTCTAATATACTTCCTATATAGTAAAAATAAAGAGATACAAGATTACTTTCTTGTAACTACGCCGGAGTTGCGTTGCGGAGGGGATGGACGGAAATTGCCTCGCATGTGGCAATAAAAGGTCAATGCAAAGCGCACGTTATTCCATAACGCCGTACTATAGAAGTGCATGAACCGAGGATTGTCTGTATAACCCCAGAGGAAGTGGTAGTGCAGTGGTTAGCGCACTGAGCTACAAAGGAAGCTGGCCATCCGCGCTCACTTCCCGCTTGCGGCCAATAGCAGTGATGAATATCTGAACCATTCCTGGGCCTGCCCTCGGTCGACCTGACCGTAAGTGAGAAATTGGTGCGGTGTGTAAACATCGCCACTGGGAAGACAAAGGCTGCCGAGCGTGGTGCCGGTCACACGGTCACCTCGTGCTCCATGCCGGCCTTCACAGATACTCTCCTAAAGGCACTACGTCGGCTACACGGGGGCATCATTGTCTGTCTGTGTCCTCAGGAGTGGATGAAGGCCATCCAGCAGTCCTGCGCCAAGTTCCGCCGTCTCACGCAGGGCTCCACCAACAAGCACCTGCGCCAGGTACTTGCGGCACTACACAATCGTAGCACAGCGAGAAAAATATCTTAGTTATTGTTATGACTGACTTGATGTCGGTCGAGCAAACACCTCGCTTTCAGAAGGTCTCCAGTTCATATCGTGTTTGGTTGGGGGTTAACTCGGCCAATCATTCCTCCCACGTCAATAAAATAAGTACCACGTTGTGACGAAGTCAAGTAGTTGTCCAATGGATTAGGCTCGCCCCCCGCCTACCATCGGGATGTGGAACTTCTTCCACTGGCTCTGCAGGGCTGTAAATGAGAGATGAGCACCAATGTCACGATGCTCATTGGAACAGGAGATCACTCTGACTTTTGTTTCGAGAAACTAATTTTCCTGAATATTCGTTGTTTGCGCGCAGTTTTTTTTAATTTCCTCTGTAATGGGATTGTGTTTGCTCCGACTTCTGTTGCTTCGTTGCTGTATTTTGTTTTTACGTCTTCTCTGCGGCCGTACGACCGTCCACTTTTCACCGAGTTAATCTTAACAATTATCAATTCCCATTAGGGTCACGGAACGGGATGCAGAGAGAGTGTTTTTGTGTGTATAATTTTTTTGCTATGGGGAGCGGCAGTGTAGCGGTTAGCGTGCCGCACTACGAACCCGGCGACCCGAGTTCGATTCCCACTCACGGCCAACACCGGTGATGATTATCTGAACCGGTCATGGGCCTCCTCTAGGTCAACTCAGCCTCAAATGAGTATCTGTTGCGGTGTGTAAACATCGCCACTGAGGGAGACAAAGACGGCCGGGCGTGGTGCTGGCCACCCACCGCCTCGTGTGCCGTGCTGGCCTTCAAAGGTACTCGCTGACAACACTTGCTGTGACCCAGCTCAGTCCAACCTTGCTAATGAGACTTTATCCTGGTCCCTTGAAGTTACCACCCGGTTTAACAAAGTCCACTTGAATGTGACCCCGACGTGGCGCCTCCGCCGCCGCCGCCGCGCCCTCGCAGGTGCGCAGCCTCACGCTGTACGTGGAGGAGGCGCACAAGCTCCCGGCGAAGCACCTGACGCACCCGTACTGCACCATCCTGCTCAACAACGTGCAGGTGGCGCGCACGCCCGCCAAGGAGGGGCAGAACCCCGTGTGGGCCGAAGAGTTTGTCTTCGAGTGAGTGCGCACCGGCACGCTCGCCTGCGAGCTCTGCCAATGTCGCCCGCCCACTCCCTCGCTCAGTCACTCAGTCACTCTACTGACTCGCTCAGTCCCTTGCTTAGTCACTTGCAGACTCAATCCCTTGCTCAGTCACTCGCTGACTCGCTCAGTCCCTTGCTCAGTCACTCGCTGACTCGCTCAGTCCTTTGCTTAGTCACTTGCAGACTCACTCAATCCCTTGCTCAGTCACTCGCTAACTTGCTCAGTCTCTTGCTTTGTCACTCACTGACTCGCTCAGTCCCTTGCTTAGTCACTTGCAGACTCACTCAATCCCTTGCTCAGTCACTCTCTGACTCGCTCAGTACCTTGCTCAGTCATTCACTGACTCGCTCAGTCCCTTGCTTAGTCACTTGCAGACTCAATCCCTTGCTCAGTCACTCGCTGACTCGCTCAGTCCCTTGCTCAGTCACTCGCTGACTCGCTCAGTCCCTTGCTTAGTCAAACGCTCGCTGACTCGCTCAGTCCCTTGCTTAGTCACTTGCAGACTCACTCAATCCCTTGCTTAGTCAAACGCTGACTCACTCAGTCCCTTGCTTAGTCACTCGCTGACTCGCTCAGTCCCTTGCTTAGTCAAACGCTCGCTGACTCGCTCAGTCCCTTGCTTAGTCACTTGCAGACTCAATCCCTTGCTCAGTCACTCGCTGACTCGCTCAGTCCCTTGCTTAGTCACTCGCTGACTCGCTCAGTCCCTTGCTTAGTCAAACGCTCGCTGACTTGCTCAGTCGCTCGCTGACTCGCTCAGTCCCTTGCTTAGCCAAACGCTGACTCGCTCAGTCCCTTGCTCAGTCACTCGCTGACTCGCTCAGTCCCTTGCTTAGTCACTCGCTGACTCGCTCAGTCCCTTGCTTAGTCACTTGCAGACTCACTCAGTCCCTTGCTTAGTCAAACGCTGACTCACTCAGTCCCTTGCTTAGTCAAACGCTCGCTGACTTGCTCAGTCGCTCGCTGACTCGCTCAATCCCTTGCTTAGTCACTCGCTGACTCGCTCAGTCCCTTGCTCAGTCACTCGCTGACTCACTCAGTCCCTTGCTTAGTCACTCGCTGACTCGCTCAGTCCCTTGCTGAGTCACTCGCTGACTCGCTCAGTCCCTTGCTTAGTCACTCGCTGACTCGCTCAGTCCCTTGCTTAGTCAAACGCTGACTCACTCAGTCCCTTGCTTAGTCACTTGCAGACTCACTCAATCCCTTGCTCAGTCACTCGCTGACTCACTCAATCCCTTGCTCAGTCACTCACTGACTCACTCAGTCCCTTGCTTAGTCACTCGCTGACTCGCTCAGTCCCTTGCTCAGTCACTCGCTGACTCGCTCAGTCCCTTGCTTAGTCACTCGCTGACTCGCTCAGTCCCTTGCTTAGTCACTTGCAGACTCACTCAATCCCTTGCTCAGTCACTCGCTGACTCACTCAGTCCCTTGCTTAGTCACTCGCTGACTCGCTCAGTCCCTTGCTCAGTCACTCGCTGACTCGCTCAGTCCCTTGCTTAGTCACTCGCTGACTCGCTCAGTCCCTTGCTTAGTCACTTGCAGACTCACTCAATCCCTTGCTCAGTCACTCGCTGACTCACTCAGTCCCTTGCTTAATCAAACGCTCGCTGACTTGCTCAGTCGCTCGCTGACTCGCTCAGTCCCTTGCTTAGTCACTTGCAGACTCACTCAATCCCTTGCTCAGTCACTCGCTGACTCACTCAGTCCTTTGCTAGTCAAACGCTCGCTGACTTGCTCAGTCGCTCGCTGACTCGCTCAGTCCCTTGCTTAGTCACTCGCTGACTCGCTCAGTCCCTTGCTCAGTCACTCGCTGACTCGCTCAGTCCCTTGCTTAGTCAAACGCTGACTCACTCAGTCCCTTGCTTAGTCAAACGCTGACTCGCTCAGTCCCTTGCTGAGTCACTCGCTGACTCGCTCAGTCCCTTGCTTAGTCAAACGCTCGCTGACTTGCTCAGTCGCTCGCCGAGCCACTCGCACACAGACTCACTCAGTCACCCACTCGCTGACTCAGTCACCCAGTCAGTCAATTGCTTGCTCGCTCACTTGCCTGCAAGGTGATTCAGCATCACGATTCTCAGCTTCCAAAAGGCCATGTTGATCGTGCTCGGATGGGTGACCACCATACCCAACAGGCTGCTATAGACTGCTGTGGTTGTGGCTATGTTGAGGGCAGCACAGGGTAGTGCAGCAAAATCCAATGTTGTCCTGTACTTGATGCTCCCCCCCCCCTTCAACCCACACTGACCATCAAGGTGACGTATGGTCATATAACCCCCACGACCCAGATGGCGGGCGAGGGGAGGCCGTCATCCAGCAGTAGATTGGCTGCTGTACACAGTGCGTGTGAGCATCTCGGACGTGCTGTGTTGTGGGAAGCGAGGCGGTGTTGCGTGAGGGGGCAGGCGGCCGGGTTTGATCACATTTGTGTATGTTGAACTTCTTTCGCACCGTATGTAGCCATCCGCGCTAATTGGAGGCGCGGGGGAAGGACAACAAACTAAACACAAAAAGCAGTTCTAAAGGTTCAGTTTCATTTATTTGGAAGAACCCTGTGAGCCATTCCGCTCTTTATTCGGGTGCAACCCCAACAAACAATAACATAACAAGATACATTTAAAGTTTACTGTACGCAAATTGAGACATCCCCTACAAAAACATTTAAATCCTCCAGAAAAAGCACCATTTGTTTATGCTGCGTACTAAACTGTGCACAAAAATCCCATTTTGATGTTAGATCACAATAACAATAATAATACAATTTAGATTAAAATTTTAAGTCTAACTCTATACTGCATCAAAAAATCGGGCTAAACTGCAGTGGCTTCCTAATATCGGAAGGAAGAGCGTTCCAGATAGCCGCAAAATCGAATCTGACAGCGCGCGATGCGGTGACCACCTTTGTTCGATGGTTAGCTAAAAGCCGCTGCGAAGTTGACCGGAGTTCGTGTGATGGTTTATGCCCCTTGACGAGATCAGCAAGATATTGCGGTTCATTTGTGGCGAGCATTTTGTGTGTAAAGAGCACGACCTTACAATGTATTCGTTCAGCAACCAGAAGCCAATGCAGAATGGCCTGCGCTGTGGAATTATCGTCCATGCCTCCGTGCACCCCCTGTGCTCCCTCCTACCCACTCAGTGACCTTCCCCCGGACATTGATGTGTTTGAGATCGTCCTCAGCAACCGGACCAAGAAGTACAAGGATCCTGACATCTGTGAGTGAAAGTTGAACATTGTAACCAATACATGGCCATCACCACCACCACCATCGCCACTGGTGCTACCATTACCACCAATGCCACACTACTGCCTATCGTCAATGTCATCCCTACTGCCACCGTCGCCACCATCGCCACAAACACCACCTGATTAACATCATCTCTTCTCCCATTACCACTTCAACCTCCTTTGCTATTGCTGCCACTACCATCACCACCACCGCCATTACTGCCACCAGTGCCACCACTACCATATCCACTGCCAATCACCACTGCTGCCACCAGCATCACCGTCACCGCCTCCATCACCACTTAAACCATTGCCACCACCATTATTATCACCACCACCATTATTTCCACCGCTGCGATTCCCACATTTCACCCATGAATCTCACTGCGAGTACGACTTGAGGATCTGCATCTCTCGGTGGTGTTCACACACGGATGGGAAAGGCCTAGCCAATGGCGTTGGTCACTCTGCCTTGTGACAGGAAGCTGTGCAGTCAGCTGACATTCGGCAGTGTGGTACTTCAGAGGAGGAAGCAAGGCCAGCCAGGGCTTATTGTGTGGATGAAGATGGCGTTTGCTTTGTCAGTAAATTGTTGCAGGGAGTACCAGCTGGATTGCGAACGCAGGACAAATGGCTCGTTCTGATCTATCCTTGCTCCCCATCTTCCCATCATGTCTTCTCCCTCGTCTGCATTCTCCCACATCACTGCTCTCTCTCTCTTTTTTCCCCCCACATCGCTCTATCACCCTCTCCAACTTCCCATTCTCGTCCTCCCTGCATCTCCATTTCATCGCCCCCTCCCCCGTTATCGCTGTGCCGCTCTCTGCTCCTTCTCCTCTCCTCCGTGTCTCCATTCCGCTCGCTGCTCATCCACTTCTCTCCCGTGTCTCTCCTGCCCTTCCATCTCCTCGTCATCTCCCCCCGTGTCCCCTTCTCCGCGTCGTCCCCGTGTATCTGCCTCCCCGTCTCCTCGTCATCTCCCCGTCTCCTCCTCGCCCCACCGTCTCCGCAGTGTTCATGTGCTGCCCGCTGAAGCGGCTGCAGAATGGTCACCTGACAGACGAGTGGTTCCAGCTGACGTCGCACGTGCCGCTGCGCGGCGTTGAGCCCGGCTCACTGCGCGTCAAAGCTCGCTACTCGCTCGAGGTCATCATGCCCGAGGACGAGTATGCCGACTTCCGCGAGGTGAGGGGCCCCCTTCCTCGCCTGGCTTGCCAGCGTCGACGTCGTCCTGTTTCTAATGCTGCCGACACTGCTGCTGATGATGCTGCTGATGGCAGTGATGATGATGATGACGGTGGTCATGCTAGTTATTTGATGATATTCTATATGCGCGCAGCATTTAGATTTTCTGGATCCTGCCACTTGACAGCAGCAGTAGCGGACATCATCATGCGTGTGTGTGTGTGTGTGTGCATGTGTGTGGCCTACATACAGAGGGGAGGGATAATTATATCAACGCACTGCGCTATGAACCGAGTTCACGACCAACATCAACGGTAAATATTTTAACCGGTCCATGACCTCCCCTATGTCGACTCAACCTAAAAATGAGGGGAGACGATGGCGGCCGGTCGTGGTGCTTGCTACCCATGCCCTCGTGCGCCTTGCCGGCCTTCATAGGTGCTCGCTAACGGCACTTGCCCCAAGAGTCCACGGGTGAGAGGGCGCCATCTTCTGGGTCGCAAGCGTAGACGGGGACCGAGGGGCGGCTGCGTCGCGGTCGATTAACCGAGCACCGTCCTGTTGTCTTCGCGTGCAGCTTCTGCAGCAGCCACGCGAGTACCACGTGGTGCAGGCGCTGTCGCACGTGTGCGGCCAGGACCGCTCGCTGCTCGCCAGCACGCTCCTGCGCGTCTTCCGGCACGAGCGGCAGGAGGTGGCGCTGCTGCGCACCTTCAACGACCGCGAGATCAGCATGGAAGGCAAGCGCCCGCCACGTGCCCACCACATGCCTGTCCACGTGCCCGCCAGCCGGTCACATGTACGCTTACGTTCCACGCTCTGCTCTTGTGAGAAACGGTAGCCATAATAATTCTGCACGTGCGTGTATTGGGTGGCGCATCTTTATCGCTCTGGTTGTTTGCTTTTGGGAAAGCTGGGTTTTTAACAAATTAGATGACTCGGCCCAATTGTACCTCCTGGGGTCGATAAAGTGAGTACCACTTTGTGGAGAAGGCAACAGTGGTCGCCCAATGCGTAAACTCGCCTCCGTCGTAAGAATGTGGAATTCCCACCACTTACTCTGCAGGGCTGTAAATGTGAGATGAGCACCAACGCCTCAATGCTCATTTAAGCAGCAAATCAGATTAAACTGATGTTGGAAGAGCAACGCAGGTTTTATTGATATTGTTTCTAATGTACGAGCATTATAGACTTGTATTTCCCCCCCAAATGTAAATCTTTGTGTTAGACTCATTGGACAGAAACGTAGGTGCAAGCTGGCAATGAATGAGAATCCATATACAAGCAGGAGTTGAGGTCAGCGTAGCACAAGGCACGACTGTGACCCCATGGGATGGTTTCTCCCATCATGCTTTGCATTCTTACCCTCAAGACTCCTGGACACCCGTGCAAACGAGATGTTCCATCTCACGGGATTACCCAATGTGAAATGATATTAAATTAAAACAATACAAACTGTTATTTAAGACAAGATCTGCTTGTTCTTTGGGTCTTTCGGTAAAGTTACGTGGATAGGTTCAAAGAAAATAACAAACAAAAAACTACGACGTTTTTTTTTTACTTTACCGTAAGACCCAAAGAATATGAATTCCTGCAGTCACAAAAGCTTCAAGTCAAGATCTGCTTGCTTCAACAGGACCCGTATCTCGTAGAGAGAGATGGTCCTTCCTATGGCGTCTGGCAGTTCACCAGCACCGATTCAAGCAAGCTTAACTTTTGCTGACGAGGCTGTGCGTCGAAACCGAATCAACGCTCCTGAAATGTTGCACTCCCAGGAGGCCGCGGGTCCGATGCATTGCGTCAAGCGCACTTGCGTTGTCTAAGCGGCGAGACGGACATGGCAAGGAGACCGTCGCTCTCTGTGAAACGAAATCCGCCTCGTTTCACGGCTCGCGCTCTGCACCGCCCGTTCACCCTCGTCGCCCCTCTTCCCCCCCCCCCCATCCTCCCCCGCGCAGAGGAGGCGGCGACGCTGTTCCGCGCCACCACGCTGGCCAGCACGCTCATGGAGCAGTACATGAAGAGCACGGCCTGGCCGTTCATCCAGCACGCGCTGCGCGACACCGTGCTGCGTGTGCTCGAGAGCCGCCAGTCTTGCGAGGTGCGCCGCGGCGATCGTGCCGCCAGTGTGTGCGGGGCATCAATCGTGCGTGTTTGCGTGTGTGCGCGTGTGTGCGCGTGTGTGCGCGTGTGCGCGTGTGTGCGTGTGTGTGCGTGTGTGCATGTGTGCGCGTGTGTGCGTGCGTGCGTGTGTGCGTGTGTGTGCGTGTCTGTTTGCGTGTGTGCGTGTGTGTGCGTGTGTGTCTCACCGCTCGCTCGCTTGCATGTGTGCTGTGTGTAAACATCACCATTAGGGAGACAAAGGCGGCCGGGCGGGGTGCTGACCATTCCCTCGTGTACTGTGCCGGCCTTCATAGGTGCTTGCTAACAGCACTTGCCCTAACAGTCTGTTAAGGCTATATGGTTGTGTATGTGCGTGTGTGACGCGGCAAGTTTGCGGTGTTCCGTGTGCGAGGGGCGGCGCTGAGCGAGCGAGCCGTGAGTGGCGCTATCTCACAATCCGCGTGAGTTTGGCCGTATTTTCTCGCCGCTCGTACGAGGCGCTCGTATTGGACGGTCATCATCTCCGGCAGTCAACTCGTGTAACGCCCCCTGGTTCTGTACCGTGGCCTCCTGTCCGTGAGCCCATCGACACTTCATGTGGCCTCAAAAGCGCGGCAAGCCTAGCACGAGCGCTGTGGCGACGTCAACCGCCACAAATACAACAGCGGCGAATGGCGGCTGTTGTATTTAATAGTAGTCACGGCTCAACTCAGGCTTGGCTCTGGCTCAAGCGAGCCGGCTCAATGCCACACTTAACGTGAGCCAGCTCCGAGCACGGTCCCATCCCACGCTCAGGATTTACTTTTGCCGAACCTGAGCCAAGCCGCTCATGCTTGTTTTGGAAGCAGTTGCAAGACCCGAGATGTGAGCGTGAGAGACCGAGCCAGAGCCGAGGTGTGACCAGGAATACGGCCCTGAGTGCGTCTCAGTGTTGGCGTCTGTTCTTCCTAGTGTGTCTCAGCGGTTTCATAGCACGATGACAAAGTTCCTCCAAATAGGCTTCGACTGTTGGGGCAAGTGCTGTTGGAGAGCGCACGCATCGGCGCTTCTCACGCCGCCACCATTCCCTCCGCCCTCTGCAGCTGAACCCGAGCAAACTGGAGAAGGGAGAGGACGTGAACGCGAACCTGGGCCACCTACTCGCCCTCCTCTCCGAGCTTATCGAGAAAATCTTCCTGTCCACGGACGACTTCCCCATGTGAGTGCCGATTCATCCCAACGTGGCCCCCAGTGGACGTTGGCGTGCACGTGTGTGCGTGCGTACTTGTGTTCGTGTTGTATTTTGTTCCTGTGTACGCGTTCGCATGTCAGAAAGAACGGCAAGACAGCTCCTGAGGTTGAGAACTAATTTAAATGGCATTGCCGTGGTGAATTGTGGGTATTCAGAGGATAGGCAAAAATGTAACAGGATCAGTTTCGCCTTTAAGACTAATATTACGTGCACATTCTACATCACGCCATGAATAATGTTACTGTTATTATTATTTCGCTCGTTACCCAGGAAAACCTCACAGAGTCTCGATACTTTTTCAGAAGGGTCCTGTCTGGTTTTTTTGCAGTAAAGTGTCGATTTGGCCTTGTGTGATTCAATTTCAGTAAATTGCAGGTACCTTCTCATCATTGGGATATTTTTGCCCAACTCCAGTTACATTTTATGTTTTCTTTTAGCTATGGAAGGAAACCGGAGAACCCGGACGAAACCCATGCAGAACAGGGGGAGAACATACAAACTCTGCACAGTGAGGCGCTCGAGTCGGGAATCGAACCCAAGTCCTCCTTGCTGTGAGGCCATGAGTGTTACCAACGCGCTGCCACCCTGCTATTCAATGTCACGTGACATCACCGTACCACATTGTTTGATGTACATTGCCATGTGTAGACTGCCAACCCTGTAGGGGTCAAGATCTGTGGCCGTGTGATTTTGCTCCATCGGCCTTTGGGGACTCCTTACAGCGTATATTTCAGCAGCAATTGTCTCAAGGGAGCTTTACCAAGCCTCATTTGGTCTATTTCTATTATAAAAGGCCGGCATTCCGTTTGTCCGTCAACTAAATTACGAGAACCTTTCAGAAGGCCTGAATCAAAAAGTTACGGAAAGTGGACCCCCGCCCCAGATGTGGGGGTAAAAAGTTATCCAACAGGTTTCCAAAAATTGTCGACCCCCCTTCCCAAAAAAATGAACACACCCTACATACAATAGTCATTGGTATCTGCGCACATTGGGGGTGTGAGGGGAAGAATGGGACATCGGTGGGGGCGACGGGCGAGGCACGTAGCTCGGAGGAGCCCTCCGCAGGAGCTAGAATAAGGCGGTCGTAAGCTGCCGAAATTCTAGTAACTTAAACTAGGTTCACACTGCTTACATGTCCTGCAGAGAATGCTCACCTCGTGTCAGTCTGAGCTGGCATAAACCATGAATTCACTGCGCTTGAGAACCCCCACTTGTTTCTGCATTGATGTTCGGTATCCACGAGCGAGCACATCCTTCTTCACCGGCACCGCAGAGATACAAACGGAATTCTCAGCTGGAATAAACCCGAATTGAGTGAGAAGCCAATTATTATTCATTCATCGGTGGCCAGGCCGAGACCGTCAATTCGCTTCAGCTGAGAGCCCGGTTTAACCACGGGTGGCAAGAGCCCAGAGGTTTATAAGTCTGCACGTTGTCTGTGCCGGTCCGGTATCCGTGCCGCGTATTCGGACCCTAAGGCACCGAGCCCACTCGCCATCCGCTCTCCTGTTTAACTGTCGATGCCCTCTCCTTTCCCCATCCGCCATTCCCCCCCCCCGTCTCCCAGGACGCTAAGGTTCCTCTTCGGCTGCCTGCAGAAGTCCGTGCAGGAGAAGTGGCCGGCAAACGAAACCATGCGCACGCGCGTCGTCAGGTACGTGGAGGGGGCCCGGGATGGCAACGGCCCCGTGACCTTGGGTGCCAGTGGGTCAGCCGCTCGAGCGACGAGCGTGATGTCTCATTTATGTTTTGCTCGTTTACCCACGAAAGGCCTCGATGAGTCTCAAGACTCTTTTTCAGGAGGGTACTGCCAAGTTTTTGCAGTCTGGGGCACGATGCTGCTGTTGCTGCTGCTGTGTGATCCCAATTGAGTAATTTGTAGGTGATTATTTTTTTGCACTGAGATGTTTTGGCCCAATATTTCAGTTACATTGTGTGGTTATATTTATCTTTGGGAGGAAACTGGAGAGAACATCCAAACGCCATATAGAAAGGCTCCCGAGTCGGGAATCATACCCAAGGCCTCTTTGCTAGGATGCACAATTGTTACCGCTGGGCCACAGTGGCAGAGCGTGTTTAACATGAGCCCTGTCCACTTTTCTCCCTATTGCTAGCCCAGCACATGGGGCCCTCTGGCCCAATGGGCTCCGGTGAAGTTGCACGACCCGCACTCTCGGTAGCTACACGACCAATGGGCCGACTGTTCAAGGCAACTACAATCATTGTAAAGTGTTTTTGTGTGGGTGTGTGTAGCGGCATAGTGGTTAGCGCAACTGCACTAGGGATCTGGCAGCCTAATTTCAATTCCCGGCCATGGATAGCATCGGTGGTGGAGATTTGAACCGGTCCTGTGCCTTCCCTAGGTTGACTCAGCCTGAAACGAATACCTTGTTCGTTGTGTTAACATCAGCCCTGGGGAGACGAACACAGCCAGGCATTGTCCAGGCCACACCCACCCTCTTGTGCGTCATGCTGTGACCCTTAAGAGTTGTAAGTTTATTTTATTTAACCAGGTGAGAACTCAAGAGTCTAATTTGCAAGGGTGACCTGGGACATTATTCGACCAGAAGGGGGCCGACGATTGCCGTCTGTGATCCCAGTTGAGTGACTAGCAGTGTCATTTTCGTGTTTTTGCATATTTGGAGCCTGACGCCGGCGTGCATCGGTCTGCTCTTCCGAATGGCGTCACGGGATCTTTGAGGTCCACCTTGAAGCAGGCTGCGTTTGGTGTTATGGTTATTACAGCCGCAGTTGTAGGTGCTCGCTAACTTCACTTGCCCCAACAGTCTATTAATGCTAGACGGGGAACTTTGTCTTTGCGTGTGCACAGCGGGTTTGTGTTCCTGAGACTCATCTGCCCGGCGATCCTCACACCCAAAGCTTTCGGCATCATCTCCGGTACGGACCGCTGCTCCACAATGACGGTGCCACTCGTGGGAAGACCGTCTTACAGACGGGGGTCGTGTGGGAGCGAGACCTGACGCTGGTCCTTGCAAAACACTCACCACTCAGCTGAGCCTGACCACTAACAGACACCACACTCACCAGATACACTCACCTCTCAGCTGACCTCCATCACTAACAGACACAACTCACGCACACTCACCAGGTACTCACCATTTGGCTGATCGTCACCACTAACAGACACTCATAAAAAAGTAAGCACAAAGTCAGAACAAAGCACTTGACTATACGCATACCAGTCGAGTGTTATTCACTTTTGCTGTGCAATGTTGGTTGGGATTGCGTCTAAATGCAAGCTCATCTCACGGTGCAGTACCGAGAGAGGGAGAGGAAGTCGGTGATGGAGGACACGAGGAAGGTATCCAGTCAGGACTGGAACAGGGGCAGGGAGTTGGGAGCACGGATGACTGGGGGAAGGGAGCTTTAAACGCGTGTGTAAACATGTAGAGAACGGTAGCGTCGTGGTTAGCGCGCTGCACTACAAACTTGGCGACTTAAGTTGGATGTCCACTCATGGTCAACTTCAGTGATGAATATCTGTACCAGTCCTGGGTCTCCCCTAGGCTGACTCAGCCTCAAACGAGTACCTGGTGCGATATATATATATAACATCGCCACTTGGGAGACAAAAGGCAGCCGGCCGTAGTCCTGGCCACCCACCCCTTCGTGTGCCGTGCCTGGCTTCATAGGAGCTACCCACCAACAGCGCCTGCCCCAGCATTCTGTTAAGGATACTCGGGGCGTCTTTGTTTGCAGACCCCCCATCTCCTACAGCCGTCCGCACTCTCCTCCTCGCCGCCAAGTCCCTTCAGAACCTCGCCAACCTCGTCGAGTTTGGAGCCAAGGTACAGCTCCTTAACAGGCGCTTGCCGACGACACTGGCCACACACGCGCCATCGTGCGGCGTGGGCAGTGCCAACTCCGGGGAGATCACCGCAGCTGGGCGCGTGCTTTGTCCTGGCAGCCCCACCTCCTGCACGCGTGTGCCGTGCCGGCCTTAACGCACGGCCCGCAATGTTGCTCCACTGCTGGATGAGGGCTTCTTCACGCCGTACGGGTCAATGGGTGTGTTTGACCATACTTCACGCTGGTCACCACGGGTTGAAGGTCGGATGTGGGAGGGTTACAGGGCAACAATGGATTTTGCTGCACTGCTGCCCACGGTAACCGATTGGCGACCACCATGGTGGTCGCCAATCCAAGCACTATCCAGGCCCAACCCTGCTTAACATCCGAAATCTGATGTGATCCAGTGCAATTTGGCTGATGTGGTCATAGGCCGGCCTTAATAGTGCCTTGTCTAACCGCACTTGCCTCCTACAGCCTGTGGCGGTGCAGCGGTTAGCGTTGCACTACGCAACGAATCAAACGACCCGAATTCCATTCCCACTCATGGCCAATAAGTGACGGCGAATATTTGAAACGGTCCTGGGCCCTCTTCCCCTTGGTCGGCTAGCCCTCATATGAGTACCTGGTGGGGGTGTGTAAACATCATCGGGCGTGGTGCTTTCACCCACTCCCTCATGCCCTATGCCGGCGTTCATAGGTGCTCGCCGACGGCACTTGCCCCGACAGTCTGTTCAGGGCCACACGGGGGATCTTTGTCTTTGCGTGCAGGAGGCGTACATGGAGGGCGTTAACCCGTTCATCAAGCACAACCGCCAACGGATGGTCACCTTCCTGGACAAACTCGCGGTAACCATCGTCATTGTGCTCCTGTAGCAACGACGATGACGACGGGAATGACGATGATGACAATGACGATGATAATGACAATTATAACTGCACTGACGACGATCATGACGATGACGACGATGATTCGTTTAGAGTGTAGCTCTCTAACGCAGTGAGCGGCCATCAGTAGCGCTGTTAATGGTGCTCCGATTGGCCAAAGTTGACGCTGCTGTTGACGTTAATACCGACTTTGGTGATGCTGCTGTTAGCCGATGTTGCTATTGTTGCCAATGATGCTGTTGGTGCTGCTGCTGATGACGATGCAGTCATTGATGCTGATGCCGTTGTTGCCGCTGGTGTTGCGGCATGCAGAATGTGCAGGAGTTGTGCGATTCCCCGGAGCACTTCAAGACGGACGTGTCGCGCGACCTCGCGGCGCTGCACAATGTCTGCGTGTGCCACCTGGACGAGCTGCGTACGCTGAGCAACGAGCGTGGGGTGCAGCAGGTGACACGCGCACGTAGACAGCCGCCGTTCACCGCTAAGTGGCGGTGGCCTCACCATGGCGCTTGTGCCGGGCTAGGTGCACTTTGAGTTCATATGAAGCGTGGAAGGCTCACTGGGAGGAGTTCACGGGTGCCACAGGTTGACTGGACATGTGTGAAAATACTGGACGTCTGTGTAAAGGCGCTTTATAGCTCATCGGATCCGTCCAGTATAAATAAATATTCTCATTCTGACTGAGATGACTGGCAGATGCACCACCTGTGCTCCCCACTGTGTTGTGCATAGGCATAGACACGCATAGTCTGTTTCAAAGTCGGGGGCGATGCTGCTTTGTGTAATATTAATTGACTCTTCGAATGACGTCAAGGAAGCGCACCGTACGTAACCAACCGTGCTAATCGAAAGTGCAGATGGCGCGTGGTTAGTATCTTACGGTTGATGCAGACCGCATTGCTAGCCAGGGCCGCCCGCCGCATGCGAATCACGAAACGCTCTGCCGCTGGGCCCCGTCACCGTTACCACGTAGACGCTCGCCAACGGCGCTTTGCCCCGCGCTGTCTAGGAGGCTAAGCGGCGGGGTGGTGGGTGACCTCTACCTTTGTGTGTGCGAGTGCAGCACGCGTTGAAGAAGCTGCTGGCCATCACGGAGATGCTGCAGCAGAAGCAGAATCATTATCTGTCCATGGGCGGGCAGGTCAGGTAGCCTCCGGTTGTGTCCTCCTGCACAACCAGCTCAGCCTCGGCAGCCCCAGCCCATCCATCGCCTTCGCTCTAATTTATTTTACTCCACCCACCTCGGTTCTAACGCGTCGTCGTTTATACGTATATTTTTTTCTCCATCCCCCCCCCATTCGCAAACTCGACAGCGCAACGACCGAGGTCTCCTCCTGCCAATCACAGCCTGCAACGTGTAATTTATAGCTCAAACATACTCGTCTCTCTCTGACGGTTTTTTTTTACGTCGATTTATAAATATGTGTATACTTCGTAAAATTTTTGTATCATGTTTATTATTATTCCCGTCAACGTCTCTGCTCCGCAATCGTTTTCTCCGCTCGTTTTTTTCCTTCGCGTCGCCCGTTCATTCGGCCGATCGCCGTCGGCCGAGCCCGGCGGGTTTTCTCCCCCCCCCCCCGTGCCATGGCGTCACACTCGTCCAATCGCAAGCCGACTTCCGGGCCACGTGACCGTACCCCCCCCCCCCCACGCCACTTTCGTCCAATGGTGCGGCCCAATCCGGCAGCCGCGCTCTCTCTCTGTCTCTCTGATTCCTGCGGAATCGTAAATTCTGCCGCGGAGGATGGACTAAGAGCGTGCACACGTGTCGCGTGTCACCTCCTGCCTCCCGCTGGCTCGTGGTTCATTGAGTTAATTGCTGCGGATTTGTTTGGGTTGGCACTTGCACCCCTCCCCCGCCCACCCGACTGCGTGTTTTTACTTGCGAACGGTGGCGGCGACTTTGACGACGTTCTGAAGCGCGAGGAATAATTATAATCGATGCATTAATGAGATATGATGGGGTGGGTACCAGGTGTGGGGGAGGTTGGGGAAAAGGGGGGGTGTAGGGGAGGGTAGATGGGATTAATGGGATAATTAGTAGGGGTCGGCACCAGTTAGGTAAGGGGGGGGGTGGGGTTTGAATCAATAAATTAGTGATCAGCTAACACTATGCAAAATGACGTGTGAAAAACACACGCAAGCAACAGCCACCACCGCACGGACGGAACGGATGGATCACCGGAGGGACAAACATTACCAGACGGATCACCGGACGGACGGACAGGACGATCACCGAACGGCCCGACAAAATGCCGGACGGATGGAGGGGATCGCTGGGCACGCAGGGCGCATGGTCGCGGCGCCGCCTCGCAGACGCTCCGCGGCGCGATGCGAGCGGCCGCAAGCGTCGCTGGCTACTCGCGGTCACGCCTGGCGAGTGAGTGGCTCAACAGCCGACCCAACTGCCACTGGCTGCTCAATTTGACGAACCGCTCGGGCGGTTTAACCCGGCGCTTCCCAACCTTTTCTGGACACGCGGACCGCAGCCAACCAATCGTGCTGTGAAATGCCATGAAAACTATTAACTTGCTTTTTATTGAGCGTTCTAAACAGTCGTGCCATGGGCGGTCGAACACGCGGTGCTTTAGTGAAGGGGAATCGGAGTTTCAGTACCAGTGGTTTGCACGACGCCGGTTGGGAAAAACCCGCTTGGCATGACTGCTGGCCATGAAATCTGGTCTCGTGTTCTTTGCGCAACAGCCACGGGCCGTCGAGTCGGGGCGGCGTGGCGAGTTTGAAAAGAGGGAGATTTTTATTCTTTTGGGTCTTTGTTTTCTCGGGGCGGGGGCCGGTGATTCCGCGCAGCACGTCCAGGGCGGCCGGCCGGCAACTCGTGACCGGCGCGGCAAGGTGCCAAAGCCACCACCGGGTTGAGCAGAGCCGAACGAGCGAGTCTCCGGGCTCCCGTGTGCCGGGCACACACACACACACTCTCGCTAATGAAGACATCGCAACAAAAACAGGGTTTCTAAATGCCGGTGCGGTCGTCATTTAGGCTGCGATTTCTTAATTACGATGTTCTCTAATGAAATGATGTCGATAAGCACAAGGTTGCATGGTAATAGTTCCGCACGTTCTCTCGTGTTGGAGCAACTGGGGGGGGGGGGGGGGGGGGGGGGGGGCAGGTTGTCTGGCGAGCGATCGAGCCTGCAGCCCCTAGGACATGCGAGTGCTGACTTGTCCCCCCTCCACCCTGTGGGAGTTCTGAGGAGTCGTGAACGCAGCGTTTTGCTGTCGTGCACAGGGAAGGCAAAAGAAGCAGAAAAATGGTTAACAAAACAAACATTGACGATCGTTGGCTTCCCAGCAAGCGCGTGCTTGGTCTCTGGTGCGTTGTCTCAAGGAAACTTTCGCGTCAAAGAAAAACAACGTCAACGTTCATCCGTACGCATCCCGAGATACCGGACCCGGTGTCCCGCGCCGAGGGCGGCTGTCCCGCGGTGGCGTTGGGTGTCTTTCTGGATTCCCGTCCACGCCAGCGTCTGCTCTGCCCCCCCCGCGTTCCCGTTCCGCGACGTCCTCCCTCGTCGCGCCCCCCTCGTTTCGCCACCCACCGCCGTTGCGGTCGCGTCGCCTCTTCCCTGCCGCCCGCGCCTCTCGAGATAGTTTTCCACTACGTGCACTTAACTATACAGACAAACAAAAACTTTCAAAAATTGCAATAGCAAACAAAAAAAATTTAACCGTTGCCACCGCCACCACCGCGCACCCTCGTTGCTGTCTCCTTACTCTCAAAGTGCGACACCTCGTCTCGCCGGTGCCATCTGTAATGCGCCCGTTGCTCCCACTGCTCGCGATGTTTCCCATGTCACGTTGCTGCCGTCACCACCGGCTTCACAGTTTTCTTCTTCTTCGATGATGATGATGATGTTACCGTCGTTTAATACTTAAGAGCCGCGACGAACGGGCGGCAGAATCGGCCGAAAATTGTAGTTTAAAACTGACGACGTTTTTCTTTTTGTACACGACATGTATCAAATGAATAAATGCTGTTTGTTGTTGGAATAACAATGCCAAATATGTACATAAATCATCGCCGGTTTGCAGCCTCGATCATTTGACACGAAAACCACCGCGCTTTGTCGCCACGCTGCTAATAACCACACCACGTGGATTCATGCGTGGATTCATGTCGCATCTGCTTCTGTTTTTGACGGATGTGATGGGAGTCGTGGCTATTTTTACGGTTCCGCTTTTTTGTTCCAGGAAAGCCTCGCCTAGTCGCATGACTGCTTTTTTTTCAGTAGGAGGCGCCGGTTGCTCGCTTTTGTACAGAAATTGGGGGCATGTCCAGCTGTTCCCGTGTGATGGAAGTGCCGTCGTGAAACCGAGTCGCCGTGAAACCGAGTCGTCGTGAAACCGAGTCGTGCGCCCAGCCGTCGGTGGTTCTCAATCCGGGGGGGGGGGGGGTGTTCACGAGGTGATTTATAAACGTGTGAAATTATATCATACACGACAGTCATTGGTGAATAATAAGAAAATAAGTACGGTAAAATGTCAATTCATACGCTACCCGAGAACGATCTAAAGGATCTTTACAAAACTATTGATCTTTAACAAAGTGGTTTCCAAAAGTAACCAGCGAGCAAATGACGTCACGCATGCAGAGCATCCCGTTGATGGTATTTGCTGGTTCGGCTCTACCTCACAACACGGGCAATCGGTTCAAATATTGACGTTCATTATTCACGTTTATTTCTCTGGACCATGTCGGTTTAAACGAAATTCAACGAGGGGGGGGGGGGGGGGAGGGGATAATAGCCAAACAAGAGTTGAGAAACCAATGCTCTGGAATACTCTCATGCTTTGGGTTAAATCGCCCTGACCTTGCTTGTGTGGCGTAACGTTAAAACCAAGGATCGTTCTACACACGGCATCCATGCAAATTGCGTATGTCAACCACTTTTCAGTGCCTACCTTAATACAGACCAATTCGAACTTTCTTGTTCACACCGTGCGCCCCCTGTGAATCTCAACGTTCATCCTACAAAGTGTCATCACAAGGGACAAACACGGACACATGGGGGGTTTTTTGCCCGTATTGAAACGGCTGTACGCCGTATGGACCTAAAAACTCAAATTTCCCTGCACAAGAACGCGGGTGAGGTTCTAAACCGCGTGGGCTGACACGGAGTGGCAATGGCATCTGTCACGAGCGCCGGCGAGGAACCACAGCGAGCTGCCAGACGGCCGTGGAACCGCACTCACTGTGAGTTCGGAGTTGATGTCCACGCAGCGTTTACACGGCAAGCGGCAACTCTGCTGATGAGTACTCCGGGAGTCTGTGGGGGTGGGAGAGAGCGCTGGGGACCTCTGGAGGAAGCGTGATATTATTTATTATTTTATACCATCTGGCTATCTATTCTAACGCACTAACACAGTGTCTGGTTATCCGGGGGTTTTGCTCTCTCGGAGCCAGAAATCATCCCGTGGGCGGCCGGGGAGGGGGGGGGGGTCACAGCAGCCCCGCGGATCGCGCGAGATGAATGTGGTTCAGTTCGTGCAGAGCTGAAACCCCCGGGACGGAGTCGCGGGAGGCTCCGGCTGCACTGCCCGCCCCGGCGTCACGCGCGGTGCATGCGGTGCCATGGGTCTTGGTGCTGCTCGTGCTGTTTGTGCTGTTCGTGCTGCTCGTGCTGTTTGTGCTGTTCGTGCTGCTCGTGCTGTTTGTGCTGTTCGTGCTGTTTGTGCTGTTCGTGCTGTTTGTGCTGTTCGTGCTGTTTGTGCTGTTCGTGCTGTTCGTGCTGTTTGTGCTGTTCGTGCTGTTCGTGCTGTTCGTGCTGTTCGTGCTGTTTGTGCTGTTCGTGCTGTTTGTGCTGTTCGTGCTGTTTGTGCTGTTCGTGCTGTTTGTGCTGTTTGTGCTGTTCGTGCTGTTTGTGCTGTTCGTGCTGCTCGTGCTGCTCGTGCTGTTTGTGCTGTTCGTGCTGTTCATGCTGTTTGTGCTCGTGCTGTTCATGCTCTTTGTGCTCGTGCTGTTCGTGCTGTTCGTGCTGTTTGTGCTGTTTGTGCTGTTCGTGCTGCTCGTGCTGTTTGTGCTGTTCGTGCTGTTTGTGCTGTTCGTTCTGCTCGCCACCGGCGGGAGGTTCGTGAAGGACGCTGCGACTGGGCAGCTGAAGGCGCAGTCGCCCTCACAGCAACGAGCGGAGCGCCGGGTGGCTACAACGCAGCGAGGTAGGCGCTGTGCGGACTACAGGCGGTGCATCATCTGCCTGCCATCTTAGTCCAACCCATGGTACCTGCGTCTGTCCCGTGACCTCCTGCCGGCAGCGAGCCTTCGGCACTTCAAGTGATAGCCTCAGGGTGCACCTGGCCTGGCACAGGCGGGCGCCGTGAGGTCACCGCCACTTCGTGATCGATGTCGGCTGTTGTTGGTGATGGTGACTACTGGGAAACTTTCGGTCGACCAGGGATGAGTGAGCGAACGAGCGAGCGAATGCAGACACCCTCTCCAAAGTCGCCTTGCAGTCCACCCTTCCCACGTCCACCGCGAGTCTTGAGTGTCGGTGCGGAGTGACTCAAGTGAACAGAGCCATCACGATGTCACTGACGTTCCACCTCCGATTTGCACGGTTGGCTACGTACGGCGCGAAAAAAATTCAACACACACGTGTCTCGTAACGCTGCGCCGCCGCCACCACTGCACAGTGATCACTCCTCGCTCTCGAAGAGAGAGGCAGAGATGGGGACGACTCGGAGGCGCCAGGAGGAGGAACCTTGCCAAAGGTTTGCGGTCCTACGTGTATCAAGGTGTTATCGCCCGAGTAATGAGTGGCTCATACACGTGGGGAGGGAACAGGAGCACCCGGTGAAAACCACACGCGTGCCAGGAGGAGGCGACGCTCCATCCCATGCAGATGGAACAGATGGTGATTAGTCCGCATTCTTTCTGTATCGCTCACAACATCTGCGTGTGATGCACCGACCCCCTCGCTGTTGTCTCCACGTCGTGCAGGCCACGTACAGCGTAGCCGTCGCTGCCCGGTGCGTGTGGGCGACTGGTGAAGACTGCCGGACGTCAGTCGGACTCGTGCATTTCAAAGTCCAACTCATAAGCGTTACATCTCGCACGTTACATCACGTTATACCTCGCACGTTACATAACGTTACATCTGGCACGTTACATCACGTTACATCTCGCACGTTACATCGCGTTACATCTCGCACGTTACATCACGTTACATCTCACACGTTACATCACGTTACATCTGACACGTTACATCTGGCACGTTACATCACGTTACATCTCGCACGTTACATAACGTTACATTTCGCACGTAACATCACGTTACATCTCCCACGTTACATGAGGTTACATTTCGCACGCAACATCACGTTACATCTGGCACGTTACATAACGTTACGTCTGACACGTTACATCACGTTACATTTCGCACGTTACATAACGTTACATTTCGTACGTAACATCACGTTACATCTCGCACGTTACATCACGTTACATCTGGCACGTTGCATCGCGTTACATATGTTACGTTACATCACGTTACATCTCGCACGAGTAACTCTCGTGGCATGTTCCAAAGGCATTTAACAACAACAACGGGTTAACCTAAACCTCCCCCCATCCAGATGTGAACAACAGCCACTTGGATATTCGATCGCTCGGCGCGGCAATTCCTTGCTCCACGAGGGGGCTCACGTGAACCCTGCCCCCCCTCCCCCACGTGTGAATGTTCACGCGCCCTTCGCTCGAGTCGTTTTTTTGGTCTCGCCAACCGCACTCACTGGGTTTGAGTTTGGGGAAGTCGCTAGTTCCGTGGGGGAGAGAGAGAGACAGAGCCACAACTCCTGGGGTTACTTTCGTCCCGTGCTCCGTGCGAGTGGACACCACGGGGAGTGACGGGGCACCACGGGGAGTGACGGGGCACCACGGGGAGTGACGGGGCACCACGGGGAGTGACGGGGCACCACGGGGAGTGACGGGACCCCACATCCAGCACCTCCGCTGGAGTTTCCTCCAAGCAGTGACCGGATACGTTCAGAGGTGAGGACGTGGAGCGGTGGAGAGACACTCTCCAGTCGGAGTTCCATGGTGCACAGGGACGTCTCATTGATCACTCCCGACTCCTGTCTCTCCGGGTGAGCGGATATTCGGAGACGCGACTCTCAGCCCCGCACAGATGGGGTTAGGGTTAGGTGATAGTGTTTGGGATAGGGTGAGAGATAGGGATAGGGGATAGTGTTTGGGATAGGGTGAGAGATAGGGGATAGTGTTTGGGATAGGGTGAGAGATAGGGATAGGGAATAGTATTTGGCATAGGGTGAAAGATAGGGATAGGGGATAGTGTTTGGCATAGGGTGAGAGATGAGGTTAGCGGATAGTGTTGGGAAAGGGTTAATAGTGGGTCGGGTTCAGTGCGGAATTGCGGGCGGGTTACGTGGAGTTGCTGGGGTGCGTGTAACAGCGGAGCGCTCTGTGTTCGGTCGGGGCGAAGTGTGCCACCAAACGGCTTCTGCTGCTCACTTCCAAAATAACGCCGCCGCCGTCGCCACCGCCGCGAGCGAATCGAACGGCGCGCGCACGTTTGGGGCGGACGATAACCCTGACCCGCAGCGGCGTTAACCAGGGCGGGCGGCCGGGCTCCGACCGCGAACCTGCGCAGCTCCTGCTGGAGCCGCGTCGTTGGCCAGACGTGGCCCTCGCAGACAGAGTCGGCCCCGGGGGGGGGGGGGGGGGGCGGGGAATGCAGTGTGGAGGGCTCGGGGCAAATCCCACAGCGTGGGCCCACCGCGCCCAACGCCTTCAAACTAAAGCGGGAGGATTAGATCTGACACCGTCACCAGCACCAGCACCACCAAAGTGCGGGGCCTGGGGCGTGTACCCTCGGGACGGCTGTGGCTTCCAGCATTCGCGTTCCCGCGCCACGTGGGGCCATCAAAGCAAAGGGGGAAGAGCCAAACTGTGTTTTTTTTTGTTGTTCTTCCCCTCTCTCCACCACCCGATCGCTTTTTTTTATCGCAACACCAGGAATAGCAGCCACACGATCCATGAGCGGAATTTCCTCAAATTGGCCA